ATCTCTTTATAAACCTGATTACGCGAAACTGAATTTTAAACATTAACTTTTACTTTAAACCAAGAAAATATGAGAAAACGTGTAGAAAGTTAACAAATGTTTTGAGCGATTTCGCAAAAGGTTTTGGATTAGCTGAAGTTCCAAATAACATAAAATGGTTTAACCGAACATAAAATTAAGCATTAATTCGTTGATGATTCCCACATCTCGTTCGGTTGGGAACAAAAACGTTGAACACATACTTAAAAAATATAAAGCAAGTCCATCAGAGCAAACTGTTAAACAGGTAAAATGATGGCTTATCCTAAAAAAAAAAATAAACACACGATGGAAACACTTTTGGAAATCAAAACTGTTTAATTTATCTTTAGGAGAAAATATTCCACAATTGAATTTATTCAGGGTATAGAGTGGAATGAAGTTCAAATTTGAATCAAATGATATGCCTGTTTTTAATCATATCAACCTCATTTAAAGTAGCATGGCTTAATTTAAAGTAAACTAATGTAGAAATTTTGATACGATGAAACCGTATGACATAAGTTCCATTTTGTTAGATACTTTTGAGCCTTCTGATGAGTGTAGAGTTGCCCAGCAGTTGCAGCAGTCCTCTTTATTCCTTCTTTGACTGTTGGCTTCTTCAAGTTTTTGTAAACATAATCGTTTCTATAGAACAAAAGTGATTCAACGATGCGTCTTAAGACTTTATTTTATGTTATGCAAATATTCTCTTGCTGGCACACATCCATAAATGTATGGCACAGAACGAGATTGTTGCTACGATTTGTTGATAAAGCCACAGTTTATTACACTTTGATGGCTTATATTTTATTCCTAAAAGCCTCTATATTATAGTCATATAATTTTTAATTTAAGATTAAGTTCTTAAGATTGTTTTCTATTTAACACATACATCTAGGTTTATCCCGAGGTATTTGGTTGAATTGTAATGTGAAATAACATATTTGTTTATTCTTATTGGTTTTTAATTATTTTGCCAAAGGATTACATCAAAATCCATTGATTGAGGTTTCTGTATTATTTCGGCTAACTGCCAGGATTACAGTGTCATTCGAAAATGTTGCTAGTTTAACACATTTTTCAGGGATATCGAGCTGTATAATATGTAAAGAACAATTCCTAGTACACTCTATAGTTTTAATTTTATTTTGAGATACTATCGCAATGAATAAAGCCGAATACACTTAATAAATAAGCTAGTTCTAACATCCTCTACATTTAGTATTTATTCGGAAATAAAATCATTTAACTTGAAATATGGTTCTAACGATTCAGTGAATTTCTTAACTGTAATTATGTTGGAATTAACTTCGGGCTATGGAAATATTTTTAGTCAACTTCAAATAGTTTCACGACGGTTGGTGTTAATTTTAATTTATTAACACTCCAAGCTAAAAGCTTTCTGCGAAACCGTATTTATTATGTTATGAATGGATTAAACTGAATATTTTCTACGTAGTAAATTATTATATTTAGCGGCATAGAATTTACAGACGTTTTGTAGAATTAATTTAATGAAAAATAGCATACTTTCCCCATAATTAATTTCTTTGTTAGTGAACACCTTAAAGCTGACTTTCTGAGAGGAAGGAACACCTACTATTATTATATCCCGTGGCGCTTCGGACCGGGAAAAGCCGGAAAATTCCCATATACCATCATTGACACTATAGCCTACCAGGACTTCGTATCAGCAAAAAGTAATTTACTGCTATCAAATCCTACGAACCATGTAAATTAATAAAAAAATCACATATTCGAACCAATGCGTTGTTTTCCGCTATAAGGGTCAGTAATTAAATAAAGGGGCGCTCGACACATTGGGCTACCCAACGGATGATTATTTTTGTAAATAAAAATAACGCCTAAGGTGACCTTACGTATCCACTAAATATGGGTGTGTTTAAAATTAGTTGGGACGTTTCTATTAAATTAAATTTCTGTTAATACGATACCCATCAAAGCGTTAGCGGCTTGTGGCCAAAAAATTGGGGGTTCACAAAGAGAGAATATAGGTCTCAGTATAGATTTAGGTAAAAATATTTCAGTGTTTTGGAAAGGTATATGTTTTTTACCTAAATTTGTACTGAGATCTATATTATGTTATTGTGAACCCCCAATTTTTGCTCACAAGCCACCCCTGCATCAATGCCTATAGAGAACCATGCAAATAAATGCACATGGTCCTCTGTAGGATTCGAAGCCCCGCGTCTCTCTACCACAAAATTGGCTCGCAAATGAATGCAAGTTCCTTAAATACCTGTAAGGATCACGTGTTTATTGTTTTTGGGTGGATTTGAAGTATTTTAGTGATATGTTTGTAATTTTTTTTAAATATATTTGGATTTCTATTATTTTAATTTTCGAATGTCTACTGTGGGGTAAATTTTGTGCACTCTTACAAAATTACGGTAGGAACTAGCAATTGAAAATCAATTACGGTCACTGTAGAATCATACTAAGAAGCTAAATTTAACCTTTTTGATTTTTTCTATGATTTATTTCTTTTTACCCACATGTCCACTAAGTTAGCAGCTAGCAACTTTTACGAATAAATTGAACCTCGTGAAAGTCATCAGATGCAGACTCACGTGATAGGCTGAGGCAGGATTCGGAGACAACCTTTGCGCGAGTAAATTTTAAAGTGGCTTGCAAATAGTTTTATCCAATGGTAGAAGATATTCCAGATTCAAAATCAGATTCATCGAATTGTGAAAAACGAATTAGCAAAATGATAAAGTCTCGAAAATACCCCAAGTCCATTCGCTTTCTTTTGTAAAATAGATGAAACCAAAGTTACTAGATTTTGGCACGTCGTAGATTAATTACATCATGTTATTATGTCAGGTGGCAGTTATCAAAATAATTTTACAAGAAATTAGATATTTCTGATCTAAAACCAATTATTATTATTAGGTATATATTATTATATATTATATATAGTGATGAGTCTGAATCAGAGTCCAGTTCTGAAGAAAATTATATTGATTAAAAAAATTTATATGAGTTATCCAATAAATATTTTCTGTGCCACTGTTTATACTATATTTTTTAAACAAAGAGTTTGTTTCACAAATTTGCACCTGTTTTGGATTATCTTTAAAAACTTTAAAAACGCTAAAAATCAATGTTCAGTTGGAAAATTTATTTAAATAGTATGAAAGTAAATAGTCTAGTCTTTGTATACAAAATGTAAACCGTAATCTTAATTTTTTTCAAAGTGACTTTTTGTATTCCTGTAAACGCACCTTAATAAAGTTTACGCTGCAGGGGCGTGCGGTCCATGGAAGCGGGGGAAGCACCGCTTTCCTACACTTTGAGATTTAAAAATAAATATTATTCAGTTAACAATGAATAGAAATTAATATTAAATTAGGTACTATATTTTCTCTGAAACATTACGTAAACTTAGTAAATGTACTAACAATTCATTGGTGTAATGTGTAAACGCACGCACCACCCATGAGAAAATTAATTGTGTGAACGCACATTAGATTAGATTAGGAGTTGGACGTTATTTGTCCTTGCGACCTTTTCAGATCTATTGTGGGACTCCGTTTGTTTTAGAGTATGTCGTCTAGCCTGGTCTTTTTTATTAGACTTAGCAGCTTTGACAGTGGCTCCCGCATGTAGTTGCATGCAACTGGCTTTTCTTCGCCCAATGTTAGAAACCTCATTCCAGCCAGGCCTTCGCATTGGCACAGGACGTGGAATGATGTTTCCCCTTCTTCTTCACAGAACCTGCACAAAGTTGCTTCTTCTGCTGGATTTATAACACTTATGTGCCTTTAAATTTATTTAAATAGTACGAAAGTAAATAGTCTAGTCTTTGTAGACAAAATGTAAACCGTAATCTTAATTTTTTTCAAAGTGACTTCTCGTATTCGTGTAAACGCACCTTAATAAAGTTTGCGCTGCAGTGGCGTGCGGTCCATGGAAGCGGGGGAAGCACCGCTTCCCTACACTTTGAGATTTAAAAATAAATATTCAGTTTACAATGCATAGAAATTAATATTAAATTAGGTACTATATTTTCTCTCAAACATTACGTAAACTTCGTAAATGTACTAACAATTCATTGGTGTAATGTGTAAACGCACGCACCACCCATGAGAAAATTTATTGTGTAAACGCACATACTATATACTTCGAGTCCGTCGGCGGAAGCGCGTCTTGAAATAGCCGGTCCATCTTTCAAGTGGTTTCGCTTCGTGTTATTGACCCTGTTTGCCGCGACAGTAGTCAGTCTGTTCGGAAACGTGATATACGGTCGAGAGGCAGCGATTGTTACGTCGCCTTACGCATATTGCAATTCGCACCGCGAATCGACGTTTGAGGAAAATCGTAGATTTCAGGTAGATTTCGGTTTGTTTTTCGTGGTTGTTTTTCTTTTTGTAAAATGGAGGAACTATGCAGTGTGCCTATGAATAATAATAATGTGGTAAATTGTGTCTGTATTGTGTGCTTTTTATTGAAAAAAGGATTTTCAAATAGAAATTTTGAAGAGAAAACGGACATTATTAATTCTAGCAGACTACAGGATCCTATCAATTTAGAGACGAAAGTAGAAAAGTCAGCAAAGAAATGTACCAGACATTTTCACGTAGGGTTCTATGAAAAGTATGAATGGTTAACTGGCTGCAAAACTTTGAAGAAATTGTTTTGCTGGCCTTGCCTACTTTTTAATATAGCCAAAAAAACACATTAGAACTCAGTCTGTATTACAGACTTTCACAAAAGTGAAAAACGACATGTAAATAGTAAATCTCATATAAGTGCCACAATTATAGGAAAAGACATCGAATTGAACATAGTTTGAACAATCATTTAAAAATAAGCAACAAAATTCACAATGAAAGGGTAAAAAATATAGGGATGTTTTACAACGATTAATAAATGTAACTTGTTTCCTGGGAGACCATGAACTAAGTTTTAGGGGTCACAATAAAGCAAGTGGATCCGCCAATCGAAGAAATTACATGGACCTTCTAAGTTTTTTAGCAAAATACGATGATACCCTAAAAAATAGTTTTATTGAGTCGACGACTTTCCGAGATACCTCAAACAGAATCCAAAATGAATTAATTAAATGCACTGCCGACGTTGAGATGGATCACATTAAAAGTGAGATTAAAAAAGCACCTTTCGTATCAATTACGCTTGATGAAACCATAGATGTAGCAAACTTAAGTCAATTATCTATTGTTGTGCGATATGTATTGGATGGCATTCCTCAAGAGCGATTATTAGGATTATTGGACATCACTAGCGAACGAACTGCAGATACTATGCTTAAAATTGTTTGTGACATTATTTCAGGTTTAGAATGTGGTTCTAAGCTTGTTGCCCAGAGCTATGATGGTGCTGCCGTAATAGCTGGCCATTTAGGAGGCCTTCAATCTAAAGTGAAAGAGAAGTATAAACATGCAGTTTTCGTTGACTGTATAGCACATAGACTTAATTTGGTTTTATCGCGAAGCATGGATAATATTAAAGTTTGCAAAGTTTTTTTTTTGACGATTAGTAGTTTGGTTACTTTCTTTTCAAAGTCATCGAAAACTACTCGCGCTTTGGACATTCACGTTCAAAAACGGTTTCCAAAAGTTGCTCCGACGCGATGGAACTACAATGGACGTTTAGTACAAACAGTGTTTCAGTACCGTGATGCTTTGATACACTTTTTTCACGACGTTTGGGATAATAAAGAAATATAGGATGCTGAAACTGTTACTGTCGCTGAAGGGTATTTGCATTGGCTCAAATAAAACTTTGATTTCAATTTTTTGCTTAACATTTTTGCAGTGATTTTCCCTTTTACTGACATTTCATTCGACATTTTACAGACAAAGTCAAATGACATTGGCTTTTGCATTAAACAAATTGATGATTTTAAAAATAAAATGAATAAAAAAACGAGATCAGTTTGAACACTTTTGGAACAATACTCAAAAGATTGGCTTAGAACCTGAAAGAAACAGAATTAGAATTGATAATGTCGACGACAGAGAGACCTCCTATCGTCGATTATACGCCGACATTTTTGTTAATATTTTACAACAAATGAACTCTCGATTTCAAAACTTTAACGAATTAAAATTTGTTGAATTGTGCAATTTTAATATTAGTAACAACGATTCGTCAAAATTTCCATCGGAAGCTTTTAATTCACTAAAATTAAATTATGGAAACTTTTTCGATATTCCAGCATTAAAGTCTCAGTTAAGTGTTGTTTATGAAACAACTGAAATTAGTGATTAAAAGACGCCCATCAATGTGTTAAATTTTCTTATAACAACTGGTTTAAATAAGTTCCTTTGTGAAGTCGTCAAGTTGTGTGAATTAGTACTAACCATTCCAGCCACAAGTGCGTCAGTTGAGCGAAGTTATTCAGCTTAAAAGCGCATTAAAAGTTTCATACGAAATTCAACAAGTGAAGACAGACTCTTTAATTTAGCCCTAATATCCATGGAAAAACAGCTTGTTAAACAGTTATCAGAAAATCCATAATTTTACGACGATGTTATAGACAAATTTGCAGCCAGAGGATAGGCGAATAGATTTTAAGTATAAATAAATGTCAACTGCTGTGTAAACTGTGCAAAAAATGCTGGAAAAAAATATAAAAAAACTTCAGTTAAATGTTTTTTTTACGTTTAAATAAACCAAGGAAGCTTTTCAACGGTAAGTTTTTTTATAGATTCTAGTACTAAACTAGGTAATAAAGTAATAGTAACACTTCAAAAATCTCAATCTCGAATATCCGTAGTACTGAGGAAGAAAAAGCAAGATATTGACAAAATGGTAAATGCGTCGCGAAAAATGTTTGCCTGCAGCGCTGTGCTTACTGGACCGCTGTATTTTTATCCATGAGTTTTATACAATCGCTTCCCCTTTCCAAAAATGTCACCGCACGCCACTGTTACGCTGCAAGTAACAACAAAGCTCAACTGAAATGAAAAGACACGTTCAAACTGTAACTAGAAATGCTATACTCTTTTGTCATAGGACTTGGGGTATTTCTATCACTTTATAGTGTTTGATAGATTGAATTACTTCGTAGTTTATATATTGGATATTCTAAACAACTAAAAAAGGCTTTTTCTTTAATTTTAAATATTATACCGTAAGCTCCTAAAGGGAACATATGGGCATAGTTTATTTTTTAAACATACTTTTATTTCCAAATAAATTAATAATAATTTTTTAAATATTTCACTGAAAAGTAAAAATCGATAATGGGTTAATAAATTAATTAGTTAATAAGTAATGACTTGTTCGCTAGAGCGAGAAGCTCAATTTGAAGAATATGGTGGATGGAGAACAAGTTCGTAACGCAGTTAATACAATTGCGACTGCGCACATGCGACGGTGCGTTGTGCTGATGAAAGAAGACTTTTTCTTCACCAATTGCAGTTATTTTACCTTTTTAAAGATAACAGATGTAAATGATAGAGTATACACCCCAAAAAACAGTTGGCTATGATTTTGTTATCCAACAGACCCACCTGCGCCTTCTTCAGCTTGCACTGCGTTTAAATTAAGCTGTTAATATTAGAGATAGAGAGTCCCTATAAATATTCGGTTTCATTTCCAAAAACGAGTATTTTGGGTGAGATTACAGAACGTCTGCAACTTTGCAGATCTGCAAATATGGCGGACTTACAGATGCAAGTATCAAGTTATCGTATTCCAAAAAATATCTGCAAATTCGCAATATTTATTGAGGTTTATTACCTCCAACAACACTAAATCTAAATCCACCCTTAAGAAGGTTAGAACATCCTACAACCTGTTTTTTTTTTATTGAATACAGTTCGTGGTGTCAGATTATCGAGTTTTTAAACATAGTAATGGATTTGGGTTTCGTGTTGTTGGGGGTAATAAACCGCAATAAATATTGCGAATTTGCAGACCTTTTTTGGAATACGAAAACTTGATACTTGCATGTGTAAGTCCGCCATATTTGCAGATCTGCAAAGTTGCCGCCATATTTGCAAAGTTGCAGACGTTCTGTAATCTCATCCTTAATCACTAATCGATATTCGATTTTACTCATTTTTGTTCCAAAGCAAAGATTGTAACGCAGCAGAGGCACCGTCTTTTGCTGGGCCGATTACTTTTCAGCACAGTCCCATATAGAGGGTAGCGAAAAAGTCTAGAACCAAGGTATTTGCCTTGAAATCAATAAATAAATGTATAATTATGAAATTGTAGGTTGATGGATGGTACTGTATTAAATTGTTATTATTTTTTTCTGATCCTATACATACATAATAGCGAAAAAGTTTAGCAACAAGGCATTTTGGGGTGATGAATGGGACTATATCACATTAGTAATGTGGTACTTTTTTAGTATTCTTAATAAGAGGAAAAAATAAGCTTTTCTCTGATATATCACTCGACCTACGTTGCCATTTAAAAAAAGTTCAATATGGTAGCGGTACGCTAAACATTTGATATGTTGTTTAATCAATATAAAATACAATCCTATTCATCGCCCTACAATTTCATAATTATAGATTCATTCGTTTCAATGAAAATACCTTGTTGTCAGATTGTTTCGCTATACCCTATATATAACTCTAGAGTGGCCACGCCTTCTCTTTCTAAGCTTTCCAGATAAATTTTTTGGGTTATGTCGGTCTCCTTTAACTACATTATTTCATATTTTTCTACATATTTATTCAAATTTTTATATATCCTTTGCTTTCACTTCGGCATACATCTTTCTTGTTTCCTTTGTTACTTGATCTACTCATTTTCATCTGGCTCTGCTTCTTTTTTCTTTCTACTGGTTCAACAGTACAACAGTATTTTTGTGAATAATTTTCTCCTATTCTACATAGATGCCCAAGCCATTTAATTATTTGTTCTTTTTCTAATAACCTTTTTTTTCTCGGTATTCAGTTTTGATTTCACGGTTAAATCTTACTCTAATTAAAATCTTTGTTGGTATACAGTTACTTGTAGAGTTCTTCATACTATATCCTTGCTCTGCTGTTCTTAATTTTTTGTTATCTTTATCGGTTATTTTTGACTACAAGAACAAATGGTTACAGGCAATGTCAGAGGAATATAATTCTTTGATTGCTAAAGAAGTTTACACTAGTAGATAAGCCTAAAAATGTAAATATAGTGCCATGCAAATGGGTATTTAAACAAAAAAGGAATTCAGAAGGCAAAACTTTAAAGTACAATGCCAGGTTAGTTGCTAAAGGATTTGTACAAAGATATGGCATAGAATATGAGGAAACTTTTGCACCCGTAGTAAGACATGAAGTACTAAAAATGCTTATAGGTCTGAGTATAGACCATATGGATGTACAAACGGCCTTTCTAAATGGCGACCTTACCGAAACCGTTTATATGCAACAGCCTGAAGCTTTTATACAACCAAATTCAGAACATAAAGTATGTTTTTTAAAGAAAGCTATATCTGGCTTAAAACAGGCTTCCGAATGTGGAATATTTAAGCACATAATATATTACTAGAGTTAGGTTTCAAACAAAGTAATTACGAGCCTTGCGTTTACTACAAAATTTCTCAAAAGGCTATATTTTCTCTCGCGCTGTATGTGGATGATTTCTTTTTATTTTGCAATAACGAAAAAGAAAAGCTAACAATTAAGTCAAAGCTATTGTTACTTTTACAAATGAAAGATCTTGGTAGAGCTGAATACTGTTTAGGTATCAGAATTACCTACAATGATTCAGATTAAGATAAAAGTATAAAACGTGACCAAACTCATTATGTCCATGAACTTTTGAAAAAAATTCAAATGGATGAGTGTAAACCTATTCGAACTCCAATGCAATCAAACTTAAAATTGGTAAAATTTGATGGAGAATTATAATGTCCATTATTAATGTCTGATTGGAAGTCTTATGTACTTATCAATTTGCAAATTATTTAAGCAGGTTTAATAACAATTTCAGTATAGAGCATTGGAATCATGCAAAATAATCCTGCGCTATCTAAAAGGTTCAGCAGACCAAGGATTAGTTTACACATCTAGTGGTTGTGATCTTACAGGCTTCATAGATGCAGATTGGGGGTCTGACATCGAAGATATGAAATCTTTAACTGGTTACTTGTTCATGTTTGCTGGTAGCTCGAAATCTTGGGGAAGCAAAAAGTAGTCTTCTGTTGCTATATCTAGTACTCAAGCAGAATATGTTGCGTTATCAGATGGATTAAAAGAAACCTTATTCCTTCGATGGGCTCTAACAGAACTATATAAAGTAAATAAATCCACCATTATTTACTGTGATAGTCAAAGTGCTATTAAATTGATAATATAATACTCACGGACTAAACATATTCATATTAGACATCATTATGTCCGAGAAGTTGTTTCTGAAGGAGACGTTAAAATACAGTATATGCCTACAGATAAAAGGGTTGCTGATATTTTTACAAAGTCCCAAAACAGAATAAAATTCCAAAATTGCAAGAGAAGACTTGGTATGACTACAGAGACTGAGCCACTATCTTAAGCGGGTATGTAATCCTGTGTCCATTCTTTACATACTTTACATGTTTATATGTTATATATACTAACTATTGTGATTTGTCAATAAATGTTTTATTTTAACGTCACTTATAAGATTTGTTCTCCTGCATATTTACCACTTTTCTCTTCAGAACTTTTTTATTTGCCATAATTTTATCACTGATTTAGAGACACGTTTCTCCATCGCTTGACTCCCAATC